AGATTTTAAAATTATAGAAAAATTATAAAAATGTTTATACATACTCATAACTGCATATGTGCTATTTTGAAAGTGTATATATATATATATATATATATATATATATATATATATATATATATATATGTATTAAAAATATATGAGGAAAAATTAGGTATAAATAGAGCCTTCATAAATAAGATAACCCTGCTGGTGGAATGACCATGAGTCCCTCTCTACTCCAAGCGAGCAAACCCCGGCAACGCCAAGGTCACGATCTTGGCATGACAATCCAATATAGCATGATAAGGGGATAACCAATCCATCCCCAAATGACATCGAAGTCCACCATATCGAGAAGTAGGAGTTTTACTCTAGTCTCAAAACCCCTAATAATAGCTACACATGAACGATATACACGATCTATCACAATACAATCACCCACCGGCGTAGACACATATACTGGAGCACTCAATGAATCACGAGGCATAACTAAATATGTAGCAAAATAAGATGACACATAGGAGTATGTAGACCCTGGATAAAATAGGACTGATGCATATCTCTGCAAACTAAAACCATACCTGTGATAACGGCATCAGATGCCTCAGCCTCAGGTCTGGCTGGGAAAGCATAACATCGGGGTTGTGCCCCACAACTCTAAAATACAACCCTAGGACGGTCTCCTGCTGGCTGGCCTCCACTTCTAGTGGCCTGACCTCCACCTCTAACGGCCTGACCTCCGCCTCTAACACCTCGACCCCTACCTCTAGCTGGCAGAGCGGGCGGTGAAACACCCGGTGCTGGAACCATGGCACGAGAACCCTGGTGCTGAGAACTGCTCGAGGGCAAAATCTAGCAATGTGCCTCGGATCGCCACAAGCATAACAAGACTTCGGCTGCTGAGACTGTTGACCCTGGAACTAACCCTAACGGCCTGAATAACCACCTTGAAAACTCTAGAGTGGAGGTGCACTGATAGGAGCTGGTGGGGCACTATAGGGCAACTGATCAGAATACTGCATATGAGAACCACGACCACCTGGAGCATCGTGAGAAGCCTGAAGTGCTGAATGAAACGGCCTGGGAAGATGGCCTCTACCAAAAGAAACCCTGCCTCCAGACGACGCACCACTGAACCTGCCAGAATGATGAGGCCTCTTGTCAGACCCCTGACCGCTCCCTTGAGCTAAAACCACCTCAACCCGCCTGGCCACATTGGCCGCATCCTGAAAAGAAATCTCGCCTCCTGTCTCCTTAGCCATCTGCAATCTAATAGGTTGAGCGAGTCCCTCAATAAACCTCCTCTCTCTCTCTCTCTCTCTCTCTCTCTCTCTCTCTCTCTCTTGGTGGGGAGTATAAGAAGAGCATGACGAACCAAATCAACAAACCTCGTCTCATACTGGGTGACAATCATAGAACCCTGCTGAAAACGCTCGAACCGCCTACGATACTCCTCTCTCTGAGTGACGGGAAGGAACTTCTCCAGAAATAGCTAAGAAAACGATCCCAAGTGAGAGCTGGTGACCCAGCTGGTCTAGCCAAAGAGAAATCCCTCCACCATTTCTTAGCGGAACCTGATAGACGAAAAGCAACAAAGTCGACCCCATTGGTCTCCACTATCCCCATGTTCCGAAGAACCTCATGACAACTGTCTAAATAATCATGGGGATCCTCTGAAGATGTACCGCCATAAGTAGTAGTGAAGAGCTTGGTGAACCTGTCCAATCTCCACAAGCCATTTGAAGACATGGCTGATCCATCACCGGTCTGAGCTACAACACCCGGTGGAACTACCCCAACTGGCTGAGCTGCTGGAGTTTAAAACTGGGGAGCCATCTGCTTCTGAGTGCAAGTAGCGTGAGTCTGTGCTCCTCCCCCAGCCTGAGAGACGGCTGGTGCTACAGGAAGTATGCCTGCCTGAGTGACACTCTCCATAAGGCCCATTAGATGGAACAGAGCATCCTGGTGTACCGGGGTAGCGATGAACCCCTCGGGGACCTGAGCTGGGCCCACTGGAACTGTCTGGCCAGAACCTCATCATCAAACTCTACTTGAGGCTCCGCCACTGGTGCTGCTGCTCTGGGCTGAGCTATGCCCCTACCTCGGCCTCTAGCACGGCCTCAGCCTCGTCCTCTGCCCCTCGTAAGAGCTGCCACTGGGGGCTCGGGCTGCTGATCAGCTGACAAAGCGGTACGTGTTCTCACCATCTGTGAAAGAACAGAGTAGAAGTTAAATTAGCATTGAGAATTCAAACCGCACGACGGAGATGAATAGAAGTGAAACTGTTCCTAACTCTGTAGCCTCTAGGGGATAAGCATAGACGTCTCCGTACCGATCCCTCAGACTCTACTATGCTTGTCCGTGAATTGTAAGAACTAAGCAACCTATAGCTCTGAACCAACTTGTCACGACCCGAATTTCCCACCGTTGGGACCGTGATGGCGCCTAATATTGAACCCATTAGGCAAGCCAACGTTACTGGTTTTTTTTTTCCTTTATCTTTAACAATTTACCAGATGATATAAGAAAATCAGCGGAAATCGAAAATGCAGAAGAACAGTTAACAGTTTAATTTAATACTAATACAATATCCATAATAAAACTCCACCCAGAACTGGTGTCATAATTTTACGGACTGTCTACGAATACTACAAATAGTGGTCTGAACAAGAAAATACAAATCTGTCTCAGAAGTAGATAAAACAGAATAGAAGCAAGATAGAAGGGAATGCCAAGGTTTGCGGACGCCTACAGAACTACCTCGGGTCTCCACTGGACAGAAGGCAGCAACCTCGAACTACGGTCCGTAGGGTCCAGTATCGGGATATGCACAAAAGTGCAGAGTGTAGCATCAGTACAACTGACACCATGTACTGGTAAGTGCAACAGAAAACAAATACACGGCATCACCCTTCGTGCTTTTACTCTCAATCCTCACCATGCAATCAATAATGGAAAATTTGCACGGCATCACCCTTCGTGCTTTATCACTCTTTCTTCACCATATGCATAAGTATGAATGTGCACGACATCACCGTTCATGCTTTATCCCTCTTTCCTCACCCAAACAATAGAAACAATAACATCCCGGCAAGGGAATCAACAATGGAAACAGATACATCCCGGCAAGGGAATCAACAATGGAAACAAATACATCCCGGCAAGGGAATCAGCTATAACCAATCTCGTTCCAACAGTTATCTTCACAATGAATCTCAACTTGTACCGATACTCAACAATGGTCAAATATCAAGAAAACATCATAAGCTTGTTCAACAGGGATAATCTTCAATTTATGCATGGATAGTACATAATGAGAATCACCACAGTTACAATATAAGACTCACGGGCATGCTTGACACCAACGCATAGATACTCGTCACCACACCTATACGTCGTACACAACACTAACAGGTTCCAAATAAGACACAACGCCTATTCCCTCTAGCTAAGGTTAGGCCAAATACTTACCTCGAATTCCACGGCCAAAATCAAGCCTCAAATACCGTTTTCCCCTTAGATTTCGTCTCTAATTCACTTGTATCTAGCCATAATTAACTTAACAACATCAATAAATGCTAAAGAATTCAGCTCCAATGCTTAATTATAGGTTTTCTATCATTTTCCCCAAAAAGTCAAAAATCGACCCCGAACCCGCTTGGTCAAAACTCGAGGTTCAAACCAAAAACCGATTACCCATTCACCCCCGAGCCCGGATATGCAATTATTTTTGTAATCTGACCTCAATTTGAGGTCTAATTCCTGAAATTTCGAAATTCCCAAATTTCACCCAAAAACACCCAATTTCCCATGAAAATCCCTAGATTTTGTGATGAAATCTTGTAAAAAGATGAAGTAGATTGAGATAAATGAGTTAGAAGTTGTTTACCTATGATTTGGGGAAGAACTTTTCTTTGAAAAATCGCCTACGAGAGCTTAGGGTTTGAGAGAATTTGAAAATTGATGAAAATCCCGTCTAAGTCATAATTTACACAGTCGTAGTTATCGCATTTGCGATAAAATGTTCGCAAATGCGAACTCGCAAATGCGAAGCTTGGCCTGGGCTGCTAACTTCGCAAATGCGAACTATTGTTCGCAAATGCGGCGGCTTCTGAGGTCGCAATTGCGATATTGAGCTTCGCAAATGCGAAGGACCCCCCCTCCCCGTTCCCTCTGATCGCAATTGCGATGGATCTTCGCAAATGGGATGCTCGCATTTGCGAGCCAAATGCGAAGTCTGCAGATCTGCAACCCAACAGCTATTTCTTTTCAGTCTCAAAACACTCTATGGCCTATCCAAAACTCACCCGAGCCCTCGGGGCTCCAAACCAAACATGCACGCAAGTCCAAAAACATCATACGGACTTGCTCGTGTGATCAAATCATCAAAATAACATCAACAACTATGAATTTAGCATCAAAATCAATGAAATTCTACAGAACACCTAAAGTTACTATTTTCACAAGCGAGGGTCCGATTTATATCAAATCAACTCCGATTCTTACCAAGTTTCACAGATTCGACTTAAACATTATTTTAAACCTGTACCGAAGTTCGGAACCAATATACGGGCCCGATACCATCAAGAACGCACACCATTTCATTTCCAAAAGTCTATATATTTTCCAGCAAACAATTTTATTTAAAAATTCTTTTCTCTGCTGGGGACCTCGGAATTCAATTCCGGGCGTACGCCCAAGTTCCATATTTTTCTACGGACCCTCCCGGACCGTCAAATTACGGGTTCGGGTCCGTTTATCCAAATATTGACCGAAGTCAACTTAAATTCAATTTTTAGAGGCAAAATTAGCATTTTCTCAATTTTTCACATATAGGCTTTCCGGCAGCGCGTCTGGACTGTGTACGCAAATTGAGGAGAAAAGAAATGAGGTCTTGAAGGTCTTGGAATACAAATTTGACTGCTAAATCAAGAGATGACCTTTTGGGTCATCACATCTTCATCTCAGTCCTCTTCATATTTGATTCACCTCTCTCTTTTTCTAATGAATATGCAGCCATGCCAAAGTTTAAGCGTTTTCGGAATCCACTAAAGTCAGCTCGTCAACCAAATGAAGCTCATGTACATTTTTCATCATCAGCAATTCCACTCCAATCACGTACTATAGATCCCCCAGCAATAGTACAAGCCCTCCCACATGCTCATGATGTTCCTCAACAAGAATAAGCTCCAACTCTACCTTCTAATTCAAATGCAACATTTGTGCGCCGTACAGGACGTGAATCTACAAAATATTGGACAGTAGAGGCAAAAGGTATATACCTTACATGTATTTTTACTTCAATTTATGAGAATCTTATTTTTTTCCTTTTTGGTTGAGTAGCTTGTTTTCTTGTTAAAGACTCAGACAATGCTACCAAGCAGATTAGGGTCAAGGTCAATGAGGTTAACAACCTAACTATCGGGGAGCGCATCATTGTGGATTTTGATGAATACAACACAGCATATTGTGAAGCGCAGGGATTGCTCGCTGGATATTGTGGAACGTTAGCAATTGATTGTAATTTATTCCCGATAAGTATTGAGAAGTGGTCAGGGCCATCACTCATGCCTAAGAAGTCAATGGAAGACTGCTGTGAAACAATATTGAAGGTAAAAGTTTTACTAAATGCCTATGTACTTATTGCACCTAGATTTTTATACACATGAAAAAGCTAACTTCTATTTTTTATTTGAAGCCTCGATTTGATTTTCGGGTAAGTGAGTCCATTGCATACAGATAATGCAGTGCTAGTATTTCGAAGAAATGGGCTCACATAGGCAGAAGTTGTGGAATGAATATTTTGACCCAGCCAAAAGCAAAAAAGAAATTCTAAGTAATGTACCAGCAGGTATAAATAAAGATCAATGGGCTAGTTTTGTTGCTTACTGTCAAAAATCATCAACAATGGTAAGATTCAAATTATTTTAATAAGTTTCATCATAATTAAATGAAGACAAATTTTTTAATTTGTATTTGTTTTGTTGATAGGAGCTTTGTAGAAGAAATAAAGAAAATCAAAAGAAGGAAAAAATGCCGCATACTGGTGGATCAAAAGCTATCTCGAGAAGACGACATGAGCTGGTATGCACATTAACTTAATAATTTTACTATTTCTCTAATTAAAATGTTTGTAATAACTTTTTAATACTCTTTCTTAGTTTTTGGTAACTGAAAAAACTCCTAGTCGCGGAAAAATATTTATTGAAACTCATAAGAGAAGCAATGGATCGTATGTAAATGATGCGGCAAAAACTATAGGGGTAAGTATAGCTTAAGAGCATTTTTATAACATTATTTTTATTATTTTTGTATAGCATTTTGCATCTCAAGTTTAACTATCTTGTACTTACTAATTGATTTTTATTTGCTTGTAGGAAGAAATTGAATTGAATATGACTCAATATGATACTAATGAGTGTGAAGTTTCCCCAAATGATGTTATTTGCAAGATGTTAGGGGCAGAGCACTCCAGGAGACTACGATGTATGGGTATGGGAGTTGTGCTGTGAACAGGTTATTTTCACAAAGACTTCATTTGAATATGTATGTTCTTACATTCCAAAAAGTTTAAAAACATAATATTGAACTAGTATTACTCTTACAAATATGAAACCATGATGTTGATATAAAAGAATGACAAATTTGTGCTTCCTATATATAGAGGATGGACATCTGTGTTATAGCTTATGGATCTTGTGTCCTGTAAGAGCATCTAGTAATTTCTTCATGGTACCTCCCTGTTATAGTTTTATAAATCTTCGCTTTTCGATCCTGTATATGAGTTTGTTTATTCTGTGGATCTGGCACTCTTTGTTTTCTTTTTAGGATAATAAATGATGCAAACATGGAGCATAGTTATGAAGGTCTCTTGTAGACATTGAAGTGTGTTCTGCCTGATTTTCATCGATATATTAGCTTTATTACGTTGTACTGGACATGTGACACTGACTTGTCTTCTATTATATATTAACATTGTTTCTGTTACTTTCATTTACTGTTGGTAATTTCTAATTTTGATGGTACTGCTCCATAAGATTCTGCATTAGAATGCTAATATATAGGAGTACTCTGTTTCGTTTTTATATTTTCTTCTGAATTCTACTCTCAACCCATCTATGAGTCTTCAAGGACTTTCTTTGATGTCGCGGTTTCCTGTTCCAGCACTTCAAACATCTTCAGAGTTGTCATCCACATTTAATGGGGTAACAGTTTGTTCTTTCAAAATGTGTTGGCATATTCAAGTTTTTGACACCTTGGTGACCTGTTTGGCCTTTTGCTGTTAAATATAGAGAACTTTGTGTTGCATTATAGCTGGTAAGATTGTTATTTGAATATTTGAATTATTTGTATCTTTGAGCTCTATCTTTCTTGTAATTGTGTGTTCATAGTTTGTCAAAAGTTGTTAACTAAGAACTTAAAATCAGGGAAAATAGAACACAATTAAATGGTGCAAAGATAGAAAGATGAATTTTCTAATTTAAATTTAATGATGTGACCTTTCTAACCTTTATGCTTTTGACAATGGGGGAATTTGAGGGCGTATTTTTGCAAGAGTGATATACTTAAATTAAGTACACCAATTTGCTTGCTCTCACTTTCAAATGTTCTGGCTTTTGTACTTGAAGTAGTTTTAAATTTGAGCTGTTGCTCTGTTTTTGGATTGAGACACTTTATGGGAAATGTTAGAATGCTCTTTTCTTGATTATTCCATATTAAATTTCTTTTGAATTTAAGACAGATTTCTTTCCTAGAGTCTACATGAAGGAAGATGAAAGAATGTAGGATTTGCCATGATAGTGATGAAGATTCAAACATGGAGATTCCCTGCTCTCGCCGTGGAACCCTCAAGGATTATTAAGCTAACTGTTCTCGTCCTTTGAAGCCCATGGATATAGAGCAACAGAGAGAGTATGGTCACAAGATGGTGAATTTCATTTCTGATTATCACAAGAACAATGAGAATTCACTGTTCTCAATCAAGTTTAGGTTTTCACAACAACCTATCAATTTCTTTTTGTATCCCTACCATGCACTTGCCAAGAATTAGTTGCCCATAAAAAGTTTAGCCCTTGCATGACAGTGTTATTTTGGCAGAGTTTGTGGAGGCTTAGCTAGAAAAAAGTACTCCATTATATTTCTTTTTGTATCCTTACCAGCACTTGCCAAGAATTAGTTTCCCGTAGAAATTTTAGCCCTTCCATGACAGTGTTATTTTGGCAGAGTTTATGGAGGCGTAGCTAGAAAAAAGTACTCCATTATATTGCTAATAAAATTAGTAAAGCTCAATTTTTTAATCGATACATTTTTACTATCCTAGCTGGTTGTTGATCATATCATATATCATTGCTCATGATAAAAATTTATTTAGTTCCATGAGGATTTGAATTTGTAATATTTGTCACTATTGTTAATTTTTATGAAATTTGATTTATGTTGTAAGTTATTTGATAAAAGTGTTTCTTTAATCCTACAAATAAAAATGTTCAAATAGAAAAAGAATTTTCAACAACAAAATATTGTGGCAGAAATAAACTGCCACTATTTTTTTTAAACATTAATATTATATTGTAGCAGTTATAAACCCCCACATAAATTTTTTTTTAAAAAATATTTGAATCATACTGGGAGGTGGAGGCGGGGGGGGGGGGGGTATTAAACTAGCACAAATTATCTTTCAAAACCCCTTCATAAGTTTTTCTTAAAAGAATATTTAAATTATATTTTAGGGGTTTTTAAACCTCCACAATATCTTTTTTGAACCATTATGATCATATTGAGGGGGTTTATAAGCACTCGCAATATTTTTTCTTTGGCACATCGAAAATCATATTGCGGGGTTTTTAAACTAGCATTAATTATCTTTCAAACCTCCAACAAATTGAAAATTCATTTTGTGGCGGTTGTCATGGAGGTTTTGAAAACCCGCCGCAATAATGCTCGTGGCAAAGGTAATTGCGGCACTTCTAGAAACCGCCACAATTCTTTTTGTGGAAGTCAAAAATCGTCACAATTTGACCAAAAAACTCCCACAAAGTAACTGTTTTCTTTTAGTGAACAATACTATATTTCTTCAAAATTACTTAAATATATGTGCGTGCACCCATGCTCAAAAACTCCTATGGTGCAATAATTATTGGCACCTTTATGAGTGAACTTTGCTGTTCAATTCCCACTTCGGACGGTCTTATTTTTGGCACTGAGTATAGATATATACGTGAAAATTACTAAAATTTAAAAAGAATATATTTTTGAACCTATAATTTCAAAAGTGTAATGGGTTCATGGTTAGAGACTAAAGTTAAACACATCAAATGTAAGTTCTAAAACCACCTCTTCACAATAGTGCATTCATCTTCTTGAAATTCTGGATCTGCCTTTGATCATAGCCTCAAAATTACTGGCGCGAGCAAATAACTAAGGGGTAGGAATATTACGTCAATCAAAATATACCGATCACTATTAATGCAAAATTTTATGCAGGAACTATATTTACTAATGTGGCTCACCAAAAATCGTCGAATGTTATGCACGTACTAATAATTTTAAAGGCATTTTTGTCTTTAACACTCTTACCCACGTATATTGTTAACTTACGTCAATTGTATCTCGCATAAAATAATAATAATAATCCCGTATTAATTAGTTTAATGACGCATTTAGTTATGTAGGGATAATTTTTTCTTATTGGACCAATCAACCGCTGTATTTATTCACCAAATTAGGTGTCCAAGCAAAAAACATTTATTACTATTACTTTTGCTAAATTATATGATGAGATTATCTTTAATTTGATACTGTGGCCAACCAACGGTTAAGTATGATGCATATGCACAAAAGTGGAGTCAAAATTTGAACTTCATGTTCGAGTTCGGGATTCTAGGTCAACTACAAGTGCTAATAAATGGATTCGAAAATAAATTTTTATTTGTACATATTAATAGAATTCCAAACACATATACATCGTTTGAGTATAAGTTCTACCCTCCCTCCACCCCTATATATAATATATATATATATATATATATATATATATATATATATATATATATATATATATATATATAATATATATATATATATTATTTATATATATATATACACACACACTCTTAGCACATCCATTCCTATTCGAACCTTTCGTCCATCCCACCCTCTCATATTGGCTATGAATGTCAATGTATATATGTCAAAGTACCCCATGTGTCATAATTGCCTGATTCTGAACTATTTTTGACTTTACAAGCAATAACATACCATTCCAGCACAAGTACTTAATGCATGATGAAATCAGGAAAAAGAAGTGTACATTCAATCCATAAGAATGCAATTGTATCTTCTTCTTCTTTATTTTCTCTTTTCTCCTTTGTACGTATATTCTTATGTATTATAATCTGTGATAGTCTCTTTCAGTGATAATGTGACAGCTAACAGCTAACTGCCATTTTTAAGTAAGATGAAGAATATAACCTAAACCCCCCCC